AACACGGTCGAACGCCTTCTCCCAATCCACAAAGCACACGTGGACAGGTTGGGCAAATTCCCATGAACCATCGAGAGATGGAGAGTATAGAGCTGGTACAGTGTTCCGTGACCGGGACCAAAACCACACTGCTCCTCCTGAATCCGAGATTCGACCATCGGTCGTAGTCTCCTCTCCAGTACAGATTCAGATTCATTTTATTTGCCATTTGCAGTAAAACCACATTGGAATACAAGTCCCCAGCATGCACAGGACAAGTACATACATAAAACAACATTAAAAGTACAGAAATAAAACAAATAAAACAATAAACAAATGTCACCGTGAAAACGATCGGTTAAAACAGTTTCAATACAATACAATACTTGCAATAGTGCAAGAACATTAAAGTGCTCTGCTTAAACTGATATCAGCTTGTGGAAAAAAAAAACTGTCAGCATATCGAGATGTCCTGCATCTCAGAGAATGATATCTTCTGCCAGAGGGAAGAAGCTGGAACGTGGCTTTTCCAGGGTGGCCAGAAGAGTCATTGATAATTCTAAGAGCTTGGTTTAAAACTCTGGATTCATAAAGAACCTCCAGAACAGGAAGCTCACAGCCAACAGTCCTCTTTGTAGAGTGGAGCACCTTGTTTGAAGCTCTCCTTTCTTTGTCTGTGATGTTTCCGAACCACACAGACACAGAAGGAGGCTGGCGACCACCTTGGTGACCTCAGCCAGGGAGATGGAAGCATCTGCCCCAACATCTTCAGCCTCTGCCTCCAGTCCGGAGGAAGTGACTGGGGGGTTGAGGAGAACCTCGAAGTATTCTTTCCACCGCCCGACAATATCCCCAGTTGAGGTCAGCAGCGGTCCCCCTTGAACTGCCACCTTAACGTGGTGGGGGAGTTTGAGTACTCGGATGATCCTGGGAGCTATGTTGTCTGTGGCCTTATGCCCCTTAGCCCATGAGGCCCGGCCGGGCTCAGCCCGAAAGGACGAAGTGGGCAGGTCCTCTTGTGGACCCACCACCCGCAGAGGGATTCGTGGTGGAAGGGTGCTGAGAGGACTTGGCAGCAGTCGAAGGCGGAGATCTCGACGACCCAGTCCACACACAAAGACACTGTTCCTGTGTCTTTGTTTGAATCTGGACATGTACAGAGTCATTGCGTCTGCACCTTTTTGCCTACATCTTGCACTTGTAAATAGATCATGTTTGGTTTCAGTTATTTATCACATACTGTTTTGCTTGTTTGTGCACGAATCACAATCTGATCCTCACACACTCCCAACCTTCCCTTCTGCCTTTCAGACTTCTCTGTCTGCCGGTTCTGCCTGTACTCATCCTCTTGTTTGGTTACACACCCCTTAAACCTTTCCTTTAACCGTTCTCTCTTCTCTGCACTCTGGCCTCGATGAGTGCATCAGGTTTTACTTGGACCCTGTTTTCTGTCCCACTCTTAATTTCTCAAACTCTCGACTCAGAAGCTCATCCAACTCTCTGGTTTCTTTTTCTTGTTCCTTAATCACTATTTGTCTTGAAGGTTTGCAGGCGGTGGACCTCCAGCGTGCTCCTACAACCTCCATGAACGCCCTCGGCCCCCGTCTCTTCACATCTACTTTGTCTAGTTCACCATATGAAACTTCCATCAATTCTACATTTTGGTCTAGTATACTATATGACACTTCCATTGGTTCTACATTTTGGTCTAGTATACTATTTTTTATTTATTTATTTATTTATTTGAATTAGGACAGTGCACATTAATCAACACGTCAGCCAAAAGCATCAATGTAAATGTACCAGAATTAGCGTGAGAGCTAAATTGCATCCGTTGTCCTAAGGCAGGAAAAGAAACATTGACAGTAGGAAAATACAAACATAGTACAGAGAACAGCACAAAGTTACAGTCATAGTTACAAGGACAGACACAGGTAAGATAACATAACACGCCCAAGAATTGATTAAGCATTGAACTTTAATTAAACTACCTGTGAGTGCAAGATTGATTTGTTTTTAACCAGATTTTTAGGACCTTTTTAAAGGTGTGGTAATTGTCACAGTTCCTGATATGAACAGGCAGCGAGTTCCAAAACTGCGAGCCTCTGATAGACTCCACCGTTTGACTGAATTTAGTCCTACGACGTTGCACAATACAGTCTCCTCTGGTCAGCGCTCTGGTATTTACTCGAGTGTTACTTATTTGTGATATAAAATTCCTTAATGGTGGAGGGGCAAGACCTTTTAAAACTCTAAAAACTAAACAGGCATCCAGGAACTTCTGATAGCCGTCAAAATCTAAAATATTATACTTACTTACAATGTGGCAGTAATGATAATGTAAAGGCTTTCTATCCAAAGTTTTCAATGTTTTCTTAAAGAGAGACTTGATAGGGCTCATGTTGGACTCTGATGTTTGGGACCATGTGGTTTGACAGTACGTTATATGGCTAAAGATCATTGCATGCATATAAGCCTTTGCAGACTCTGTGGTCAGACATGGTCTTATATGCTTAAAATTTGACAAATTGAATTTAATGATGTGTGCAATTTTCTTGATATGCTGCTTAAAATCTAGATTTGAATCAAAGAGCACTCCTAAATACTTGAATTGTTTAACTTCATTTAATCTCTCGCCATTAACTATCACAGATGGTTGTTCGTTCCCTACTGGCTGACGAGAAAAGAACATGCAGACAGTTTTTTTTGTATTTAAATGAAGGCAAGAATTTTGGAGCCAATGGGACACTGGGACCATGGCTGCAGATAGGATTGCAGCAGCTTCACATTTTGTTTTAGCGTGCACATATAATACAGCATCATCAGCATATAACTGCATGTTAACAGTTTTACAGATGTTGGGGAGATTATTAATATATAGGCTGAACAGAATCGGTCCCAATATTGAACCTTGTGGGACACCTGCGGAACAATTGAGAAATGTGGACTGAACATTGTCTATTTGTACAGTCTGTTTTCTGTCTGTTAGATATGATCTCATCCAGAGGAGGGCGCTCTCAGAAAAATTAAAACTGGATAATTTGGCTATCAGAACGTCATGATTTAAGGTGTTGAATGCTCGTTTTAGATCAAGGAATACAGCACCCACATACCCACTCTTATCTAACATATATTTAACATTTTCTAAAAAGTAACAAGTGGCGGTTTCTGTAGAGTGATGCTTCCTGAACCCAAACTGCATGGGATGGAGCGGTGTTTCACAACAATTTAGGTGTTCTGTTAGTTGTGCAGCAACCCATTTTTCTATTATTTTGGACATGATTGGTAGGATACTAATGGGACGGTAATTCTCAGGTTTAGTTTTGTCTCCTGCCTTAAACACCGGAAAAACCCTTGCCATTTTCCAATTTGACGGCACCGTTGCCTGTTTTATGGATACATTAATTAAATGTGCAATTGGACTTGCAAGTGCCTCTTTGTGACGTTTCATAAAATCACTGGAAAGACCAAAGATATCTTTGGCTTTTGAGCTTTTTAGAGAAGAGATTATTTTTATAACATCAGGGATTGTTATTTCTTGTATACTAAATAATGTTTTGCTGAAATCAAGCTTTTTACATGAACTGTCATTACATTTTAGATGCCCTGTCAGTTCCTCTATTGAACCTATAAAAAAATTATTAAAGCACTCTACGATTGATTTTGTATTGACAGTTAATGTCCCATTGACCTGAAGCTGTAGGTTTTTAGGGTGATCATCTTTGGTTTGTCCCAAAAGTTTATTCACATTTTTCCAAATCACTTTACCGTTTCCATTTGCACCTTGTATTATCTCTAAAAAGAAATTGGCTTTGGCTTTACGCACCTGATTAACCACTTTATTTCTGAGTGATGTAAAAATCTGACGATCAGTTGTGTTTCCTGTTTTTAGCGATTTTCTGAGAGCGCCGTCTCTCTGTTTCATTAACTTTTTAATGTCATTAGAAAGCCAAGGAAGGTTCCCTTTGTGTTGTTTGAATTGGCCCTTTTTGGTAAAACCAACTAAGGTTTCAAGGACCTTCTTTAAAAAAATATCGGAGCTCTTCTCAATGTCACTCTTTTCAAAAAGCTCAGACCAATTTATTTGCCCAAGTTCATTATTCACATCATTTTGAGCCCCCTTTGGTATAAAATGATAAATCCTCTCTTTGTTCGATGTGGATGGAGGATGTTTCTTAATTTTTCTTGAACACAGAATAAAATTGTGATCAGAAAGACCAGACAAGAAGTTAAAAGTCTTCAAGATTTTTTCGGGCTTATTGGTAAAAATTAGGTCAATTTTTGTTTTTGACACATTTGTAATTCTTGTTGGTTCTTTTATGATCTGAGTCAAATTGTGTTTGTCAGCTATTTGCTTAAATTTTTTTCTGACTGCTTTGTTATCCCAATTGATATTAAAGTCACCAACAAGAATTATTTCTCTGTTCGATTTGCAATGATTTAAAATAATCTCGAGCTGATCATAAAATATCTCCTTAGCTGAGGGAGGTCGATACAGGCAGATCAGGGTGAAAGACATAGCAGAGGACAGTTTTATATTCAGACCAATACATTCAACAGTGACTTCCTCCGGCCAAATCATTAATTCACTTTTTAAATGCTCTCTCACATAAACGAGTACCCCCCCACCTCTTCCCGTCACTCTGTCTCTTCTATGTACATTATATCCTGGAATATTTACAGCTGCTGTTGGCGATGTTGGGGTTAACCAACTTTCACTAATCCCAAGTACATCAACATTGGAATCACATAACAAATGTTCTATTTGGTCTGTTTTATTCACAATGCTACGGATGTTGATATGACCCAGAAAAATTCCTTTTGGCTTTGATCGCTGATCCCAAATAATTTTAGCGTTGTTGAGAGTTTGAAAAAAATGCCTCTTTTTTTGTTTCTTAATAGCAGGGTTTAAGGACTTTAATTTTACGGCTGATGCATGTCTTTTTTTGGTATTTATTGTTGCCAATGAGAGTTGATATGAAGAACATTCCCCTGCATTGGAATTTCGATTTACTAATGAGTCATTTATTATTGTCTCTTCTTGCAGACTTACAGCTGGTGACAAAGGCCCGGTCAGCCGCGGTGAAGCTCCGGGCAGCTGCGGTGGAGGCCCGGGCAGCTGCGGTGGAGGCCCGGGCAGCTGCGGTGGAGGCCCGGGCAGCTGCTGTGGAGGCCCGGGCAGCTGCGGTGGAGGCCCGGGCAGCTGCGGTGGAGGCCCGGGCAGCTGCGGTGGAGGCCCGGGCAGCTGCGGCAGCAACCAGGTTAGCTGTAGTGGTATCCAGGTTAACTGTAATGGTATCCAGGTTAGCAATGGTGGTGACCAGGTTAGCTCTGGTGGTATCCGGATTAACTGAAGTGGTATCCAGGTTAGTTGTGGTGTGGTCCAGGTTAGCTCTGGTGGTTTCCAGGCCAACTGTGGAGGTATCCAGGTTAACTCTGGTGGTAGCAATGGTGGAGGCCTGGACTGCAGTAGTGAAGGCCTGGGCTGCGATGGTGGAGCCCAGGGCAGCTGCAGTGATATCCAGGTTAGCTGTGGTAGTAGCCAAGTTAGCTCAGGTGATAGCCAGGTTAGCTGTGCCACTCCCTGGCCCTCATTATTTAGGGGAGGCCCAGGATTTAGTTCAATGTCACCGGCCAAAAGTAATGTAATCACAAGATTGATAGCTCCATTAATGGTCTGGTTGCAACCCTTTGTCCAGGTTTACTTGTTGGCAACCTGGCTTGACCATGATCTAGAAATCTTGTGAACAAAAGATGTTGACTCCTCTTGGCTGGGTAGAAGATATGATTATCCCTTTTTCTTGGGCATGTTAAACTCAAAAGAAGATAGACAGATATGAAAGCAAACAACATACATCTTAAAGGCACAATCCGAGGTCTTTCGGTGTGTTTTGAGAATCTTTGGGGCAAACACACAGAACCTGCCAGAGTGTGTGTCTGCACCTCGGCAGCCATTTTGGATTTCCGAATTAGCATGGAAAAAAAATATATGACACTTCCATTGGTTCTATATTTTGGACCAGCTCAGTTTTTGACATTTTCATCTCTCCAAAAGTGCTTTGACAGCACTTTTGGGTTCTATGGTCCCAGTATTGTTCTGCTGAGAGCCCGGTCCTATGGATCCAAACAGGCTCAAACAGTTCCGAGGCCTGTGTGAGTCTCTCTGACCAGTAGAACTAAAATAATTGGACGATGCCCCAGCTGTGGTCCTATTTCCTCCGTGGTCGGGACTTTCAGGTTGAGAATGTACCTTGAATTTTGGGCGTCGGCATTGGTTAACTCATTTTTTTTATTATCAAGATAATAAAATGTTTATGGGGAAATGTCATCGTTGCATCACTAGTTACAGAACAGTAGAATGAGGAGCACACATCACTAGATACAGTACAGACCAAAAGTTTGGACACACTTTCTCAATGACTTTCCTTTCTTTTCATGACTATTGACTGCAGATCCACACCCAGGCTGTGTAAGGGCTGTTTGACCAATAAGGAGAATGGTGGAGTGCTGGGCCAGATGACCTGGCCCCCAGTCATCCGACCTGAACCCAATCCAGATGGTTTTGGGGTGAGCAGGACCACAGAGTGAAGGCGAAAGGGCCAACAAGTGCTAAGCATCTCTGGGAACTCCTTCAAGACTGTTGGAGACCAATTCAGGTCACTACCTCCTGAAGCTCATCAAGAGAATGCCAAGAGTGTGCAAAGCAGTAATCAGAGCAAAAAGGTGCTACTTTGAAGAACCGAGAATATAACACATATTTTCATTTGTTTTCATACTTTTTTTTAGTATCGTACATAATCCCACATGAGTGAATTCATAGTTTTGATGCCTTCAGTGTGAATCTACAATTTTCATAATCATGAAAATAAAAACTTTGAATGAGAAGGTGTGTCCAAACTTTTGGTCTGTACTGTAAGTGAATATTTTTAAAGTATAGCACAACTCTATACTATAAATAAAATCAGCTAGAATCTCTATCTTTAGCTCAATAAAGAAGAGAAAGTCTAAAATACCATATACTCATCCTTACAACTGAAAGAAGACTTGTTTAACCAAAAATGTTATTTGCTGTGAATTAATCTGAGGATGTGTCATTCGACTTTGAGAAGGAGGTAATATAAATAAGGGTTTATTTATCTATATCTACGTCCACTTTAAGAACATGTATAATCAGTGGCGTTCCAAGGGTACCCCGGGGCCCCAGGCAACAGAGTCCTTGGGGGCCGCGAAACCAACCTAACAACATAAAAAGCTTTATACTACAGTAGGTATAAATATATAATTTATTGCAACTGGTCACTGCAGGTAGCTTTTGTAGCCTGTACAAGTCGACTGCTTGTGTTAAATCAGTCGGCCCTCGGGGGGCCCCTGTCGGTTTGAGGGCCCCAAGCAGCTGCTTGCTTTGTCTATTGGCAAGAGACGCCTCTGTGTATAATCATTGCTAATGTGCACAATCTTGTTTCAGGAAATGTTCTGTTTTTTGTTCCAAAAAAACTTTAAAATAAAAAGTTCATAAAACAATACCATATACTCTTGAGCAAGCTGTATAAAACTTGTCTACATACATCTGCAGATGAAGTTTTGCTCCAACTCTCCCTGGCTCCTATTGACTTAAAGTAAACTCACACCCGACCAGGGCGGCACGGTGGCTGAGTGGATAGCACTCTCGCCTCTCAGCAAGAAGGTCCTGGGTTCGAATCCCGGTCGGACCAGGGCCTTTCTGAGTGGAGTTTGCATGTTCTCCCGTGTCTGCGTCGGTTTCCTCCGGGTACTCCGGTTTCCCCTACCACTAAAAATATGTCCAATAGTTCTAGCATGCGCCTCCTGTACTGGCGACCCCGCTCCCATCTCTGTGTGGAGTGAGAGACAAATGCCCAAAAATTAACAATTGTAAACCGCTTTGAGACTCAGATCTGCAGTGAAAAGGCGGTATATAAATAAAGATTACTACTACTTAATATAATACCAAACTTATCTAAATATTACACTTCCGTCAGTTTCTTCCTGATTTGAAGTGTGACTGTGTGTTTGTTGGATCTGTGATGTGGCAGATCTGTAGCTGAGCTTCCTGTGAGAGTGTGGTTTGGCTGTCGCAGCGTTCGCACAGACACTAGACACTAAAATAAAACTTTGATCCACAAGGGCCTTCGACTGATTACAGAAGGAGTTTTACAGAAAAGATAAAAGTCTGGTCGCTGTGAACAGCAATAGCAATACATTATAATATAGTTAACAAACACACAGCAGATAAACCTCATAAGTGAAGCAATCTTTGTGTGTGTGTCAGCATTTCTAGTGGAGTTTGGATGTTTCTCCCCGTGTCTGGGTTTCCTCCAGGTGCTCCGATTTCACCCACATCCAAAAACATGCACCTGACTCCGGTCCTCCAGTTTCAGTCCTGACCAAGTTATACAAAACAGCTTTCTGCATGGACCTCATTGTGAAACGAGTTTGAGAAACAGAGCATGGGTGGGGGGGGGCACACTCCTGATCTCAGCCTGGATGGAGCTAAAACGACACCCCAGGTCTGGAAGATGGACATGGAGTGGTAAGTATGTGTGCTGGTAGTCTTTATGAATAAATATGAAATGTGAAAATGCAAGAGGAATAAATGTTATTTCACAGGTGTGTGGGCGAGAGTGCTGCTAAAAATACATGGCCTCTGCATCCGAACAGAACAGACAGAAGAGAGAGAAGAGGCTGAAAGGACAGAAAAGACAGAAGATAAAGAAGAGGCAGAGGAGAAATGAGTTAGTTGAAAGCTAGCCAGAGGTATTGCTTTAACGCTAAACGCAGTGCATTTGGTCCACCCGATCTATCTGTTGTGTCCGAATCAAACAAATAAAAATAGAAAGAAGAGACAGAAGAGAAAGAATAGAGTTGACCGTTTGCTATAGGTCTTGCTATAACATTAAAGGCAGTGCATTAAGGCGGTCCAATGCAACTGCTGTGTCCGTATCAAATAAATAAAAAGAGACAGAACAGGCCGAAGAGGAAGAGTGGGAGGTTTTCTATGAGCAGAAAAGTGTGTGTGTGAGGCTGTCTGCGTGGGCTTCGTGATTCACACCCAGAGAACGAACAAATGTGGACGAAACACAAGCACGACTACACCAACTGCAGCGCTCTGAGGACTGGAACCATAACCATGAGTCATTCATGGAGAAAAAGGGGATAAATTAAGATCATAACGGAGCGAAGACATCACCTGCTTCTGTCTGCTGTACAATGGTGATGCTGGCACCAGTGGCTCATTAGTATACAGTACATTAGCCCTGTTTCCACCAGCTCTACAATACTCCACTCTACTCGACCCTAATCTCCTCTTCGGTCCCTAAGGGTTCAGAAGGCTCGGTCCTCAAGGTTCAAAAGGCTCGGTTCTCAGGGTTCAGAAGGCTCAGTCCTCAGGGTTCAAAAGGCTCGGTCCCCAGGGTTCAGAAGGCTTGGTAGAAAATATGACATATTTCAGATTCAGATTCATTTTGTGTAAGAAAGAGTCAGTATTTGGCATGCAGGAGAGACCTGGAAGAGACCAGAGAGAAACCAGGGAGAGACTGCCAAATGTGATGAAAAATAAGTCAAGAATTGCTCAAATGAAGCAAAATGATCTTGTTTTAAAAAGATACAAGAAACGTCGCCCTTGGAATGAGAAAAAAGCAATACCGTAGTTCTAAAAAAAAGATTTGTCCGGAGGCAGGAAAAACATGGCTCAGCCCATTGGCAGATCTTGTTTTTAAACAGCCATAATGTACTCAAATTAAGATTAAAAAAAATAAAAACTAATTAAACTACCTTGATTCAAGAATTTTTTACCACATAAAAGGTGTGGTAATTGTCACAGTTCCTGATATGAACAGGCAGCGAGTTCCAAAACTGCGAGCCTCTGATAGACTCCACCGTTTGGACTGAATTTAGTCCTACGACGTTGCACAATACAGTCTCCTCTGGTCAGCGCTCTGGTATTTACTCGAGTGTTACTTATTTGTGATATAAAATTCCTTAATGGTGGAGGGGCAAGACCTTTTAAAACTCTAAAAACTAAACAGGCATCCAGGAACTTCTGATAGCCGTCAAAATCTAAAATATTATACTTACTTACAATGTGGCAGTAATGTTTTCTTAAAGAGAGACTGATAGGGCTCATGTTGGACTCTGATGTTTGGGACCATGTGGTTTGACAGTACGTTATGGCTAAAGATCAGTTGCTATGCATATAAGCCTTTGCAGACTCTGTGGTCAGACATGGTCTTATATGCTTAAAATTTGACAAATTGAATTTAATGATGTGTGCAATTTTCTTGATATGCTGCTTAAAATCTAGATTTGAATCAAAGAGCACTCCTAAATACTTGAATTGTTTAACTTCATTTAATCTCTCGCCATTAACTATCACAGATGGTTGTTCGTTCCCTACTGGCTGACGAGAAAAGAACATGCAGACAGTTTTTTTTTGTATTTAAATGAAGGCAAGAATTTTGGAGCCAATGGGACACTGGGACCATGGCTGCAGATAGGATTGCAGCAGCTTCACATTTTGTTTTAGCGTGCACATATAATACAGCATCATCAGCATATAACTGCATGTTAACAGTTTTACAGATGTTGGGGAGATTATTAATATATAGGCTGAACAGAATCGGTCCCAATATTGAACCTTGTGGGACACCTGCGGAACAATTGAGAAATGTGGACTGAACATTGTCTATTTGTACAGTCTGTTTTCTGTCTGTTAGATATGATCTCATCCAGAGGAGGGCGCTCTCAGAAAAATTAAAACTGGATAATTTGGCTATCAGAACGTCATGATTTAAGGTGTTGAATGCTCGTTTTAGATCAAGGAATACAGCACCCACATACCCACTCTTATCTAACATATATTTAACATTTTCTAAAAAGTAACAAGTGGCGGTTTCTGTAGAGTGATGCTTCCTGAACCCAAACTGCATGGGATGGAGCGGTGTTTCACAACAATTTAGGTGTTCTGTTAGTTGTGCAGCAACCCATTTTTCTATTATTTTGGACATGATTGGTAGGATACTAATGGGACGGTAATTCTCAGGTTTAGTTTTGTCTCCTGCCTTAAACACCGGAAAAACCCTTGCCATTTTCCAATTTGACGGCACCGTTGCCTGTTTTATGGATACATTAATTAAATGTGCAATTGGACTTGCAAGTGCCTCTTTGTGACGTTTCATAAAATCACTGGAAAGACCAAAGATATCTTTGGCTTTTGAGCTTTTTAGAGAAGAGATTATTTTTATAACATCAGGGATTGTTATTTCTTGTATACTAAATAATGTTTTGCTGAAATCAAGCTTTTTACATGAACTGTCATTACATTTTAGATGCCCTGTCAGTTCCTCTATTGAACCTATAAAAAAATTATTAAAGCACTCTACGATTGATTTTGTATTGACAGTTAATGTCCCATTGACCTGAAGCTGTAGGTTTTTAGGGTGATCATCTTTGGTTTGTCCCAAAAGTTTATTCACATTTTTCCAAATCACTTTACCGTTTCCATTTGCACCTTGTATTATCTCTAAAAAGAAATTGGCTTTGGCTTTACGCACCTGATTAACCACTTTATTTCTGAGTGATGTAAAAATCTGACGATCAGTTGTGTTTCCTGTTTTTAGCGATTTTCTGAGAGCGCCGTCTCTCTGTTTCATTAACTTTTTAATGTCATTAGAAAGCCAAGGAAGGTTCCCTTTGTGTTGTTTGAATTGGCCCTTTTTGGTAAAACCAACTAAGGTTTCAAGGACCTTCTTTAAAAAAATATCGGAGCTCTTCTCAATGTCACTCTTTTCAAAAAGCTCAGACCAATTTATTTGCCCAAGTTCATTATTCACATCATTTTGAGCCCCCTTTGGTATAAAATGATAAATCCTCTCTTTGTTCGATGTGGATGGAGGATGTTTCTTAATTTTTCTTGAACACAGAATAAAATTGTGATCAGAAAGACCAGACAAGAAGTTAAAAGTCTTCAAGATTTTTTCGGGCTTATTGGTAAAAATTAGGTCAATTTTTGTTTTTGACACATTTGTAATTCTTGTTGGTTCTTTTATGATCTGAGTCAAATTGTGTTTGTCAGCTATTTGCTTAAATTTTTTTCTGACTGCTTTGTTATCCCAATTGATATTAAAGTCACCAACAAGAATTATTTCTCTGTTCGATTTGCAATGATTTAAAATAATCTCGAGCTGATCATAAAATATCTCCTTAGCTGAGGGAGGTCGATACAGGCAGATCAGGGTGAAAGACATAGCAGAGGACAGTTTTATATTCAGACCAATACATTCAACAGTGACTTCCTCCGGCCAAATCATTAATTCACTTTTTAAATGCTCTCTCACATAAACGAGTACCCCCCCACCTCTTCCCGTCACTCTGTCTCTTCTATGTACATTATATCCTGGAATATTTACAGCTGCTGTTGGCGATGTTGGGGTTAACCAACTTTCACTAATCCCAAGTACATCAACATTGGAATCACATAACAAATGTTCTATTTGGTCTGTTTTATTCACAATGCTACGGATGTTGATATGACCCAGAAAAATTCCTTTTGGCTTTGATCGCTGATCCCAAATAATTTTAGCGTTGTTGAGAGTTTGAAAAAAATGCCTCTTTTTTTGTTTCTTAATAGCAGGGTTTAAGGACTTTAATTTTACGGCTGATGCATGTCTTTTTTTGGTATTTATTGTTGCCAATGAGAGTTGATATGAAGAACATTCCCCTGCATTGGAATTTCGATTTACTAATGAGTCATTTATTATTGTCTCTTCTTGCAGACTTACAGCTGGTGACAAAGGCCCGGTCAGCCGCGGTGAAGCTCCGGGCAGCTGCGGTGGAGGCCCGGGCAGCTGCGGTGGAGGCCCGGGCAGCTGCGGTGGAGGCCCGGGCAGCTGCTGTGGAGGCCCGGGCAGCTGCGGTGGAGGCCCGGGCAGCTGCGGTGGAGGCCCGGGCAGCTGCGGTGGAGGCCCGGGCAGCTGCGGCAGCAACCAGGTTAGCTGTAGTGGTATCCAGGTTAACTGTAATGGTATCCAGGTTAGCAATGGTGGTGACCAGGTTAGCTCTGGTGGTATCCGGATTAACTGAAGTGGTATCCAGGTTAGTTGTGGTGTGGTCCAGGTTAGCTCTGGTGGTTTCCAGGCCAACTGTGGAGGTATCCAGGTTAACTCTGGTGGTAGCAATGGTGGAGGCCTGGACTGCAGTAGTGAAGGCCTGGGCTGCGATGGTGGAGCCCAGGGCAGCTGCAGTGATATCCAGGTTAGCTGTGGTAGTAGCCAAGTTAGCTCAGGTGATAGCCAGGTTAGCTGTGCCACTCCCTGGCCCTCATTATTTAGGGGAGGCCCAGGATTTAGTTCAATGTCACCGGCCAAAAGTAATGTAATCACAAGATTGATAGCTCCCATTAATGGTCTGGTTGCAACCCTTTGTCCAGGTTTACTTGTTGGCAACCTGGCTTGACCATGATCTAGAAATCTTGTGAACAAAAGATGTTGACTCCTCTTGGCTGGGTAGAAGATATGATTATCCCTTTTTCTTGGGCATGTTAAACTCAAAAGAAGATAGACAGATATGAAAGCAAACAACATACATCTTAAAGGCACAATCCGAGGTCTTTCGGTGTGTTTTGAGAATCTTTGGGGCAAACACACAGAACCTGCCAGAGTGTGTGTCTGCACCTCGGCAGCCATTTTGGATTTCCGAATTAGCATGGAAAAAAAATATATGACACTTCCATTGGTTCTATATTTTGGACCAGCTCAGTTTTTGACATTTTCATCTCTCCAAAAGTGCTTTGACAGCACTTTTGGGTTCTATGGTCCCAGTATTGTTCTGCTGAGAGCCCGGTCCTATGGATCCAAACAGGCTCAAACAGTTCCGAGGCCTGTGTGAGTCTCTCTGACCAGTAGAACTAAAATAATTGGACGATGCCCCCAGCTGTGGTCCTATTTCCTCCGTGGTCGGGACTTTCAGGTTGAGAATGTACCTTGAATTTTGGGCGTCGGCATTGGTTAACTCATTTTTTTTATTATCAAGATAATAAAATGTTTATGGGGAAATGTCATCGTTGCATCACTAGTTACAGAACAGTAGAATGAGGAGCACACATCACTAGATACAGTACAGACCAAAAGTTTGGACACACTTTCTCAATGACTTTCCTTTCTTTTCATGACTATTGACTGCAGATCCACACCCAGGCTGTGTAAGGGCTGTTTGACCAATAAGGAGAATGGTGGAGTGCTGGGCCAGATGACCTGGCCCCCAGTCATCCGACCTGAACCCAATCCAGATGGTTTTGGGGTGAGCAGGACCACAGAGTGAAGGCGAAAGGGCCAACAAGTGCTAAGCATCTCTGGGAACTCCTTCAAGACTGTTGGAGACCAATTCAGGTCACTACCTCCTGAAGCTCATCAAGAGAATGCCAAGAGTGTGCAAAGCAGTAATCAGAGCAAAAAGGTGCTACTTTGAAGAACCGAGAATATAACACATATTTTCATTTGTTTTCATACTTTTTTTTAGTATCGTACATAATCCCACATGAGTGAATTCATAGTTTTGATGCCTTCAGTGTGAATCTACAATTTTCATAATCATGAAAATAAAAACTTTGAATGAGAAGGTGTGTCCAAACTTTTGGTCTGTACTGTAAGTGAATATTTTTAAAGTATAGCACAACTCTATACTATAAATAAAATCAGCTAGAATCTCTATCTTTAGCTCAATAAAGAAGAGAAAGTCTAAAATACCATATACTCATCCTTACAACTGAAAGAAGACTTGTTTAACCAAAAATGTTATTTGCTGTGAATTAATCTGAGGATGTGTCATTCGACTTTGAGAAGGAGGTAATATAAATAAGGGTTTATTTATCTATATCTACGTCCACTTTAAGAACATGTATAATCAGTGGCGTTCCAAGGGTACCCCGGGGCCCCAGGCAACAGAGTCCTTGGGGGCCGCGAAACCAACCTAACAACATAAAAAGCTTTATACTACAGTAGGTATAAATATATAATTTATTGCAACTGGTCACTGCAGGTAGCTTTTGTAGCCTGTACAAGTCGACTGCTTGTGTTAAATCAGTCGGCCCTCGGGGGGCCCCTGTCGGTTTGAGGGCCCCAAGCAGCTGCTTGCTTTGTCTATTGGCAAGAGACGCCTCTGTGTATAATCATTGCTAATGTGCACAATCTTGTTTCAGGAAATGTTCTGTTTTTGTTCCAAAAAAACTTTAAAATAAAAAGTTCATAAAACAATACCATATACTCTTGAGCAAGCTGTATAAAACTTGTCTACATACATCTGCAGATGAAGTTTTGCTCCAACTCTCCCTGGCTCCTATTGACTTAAAGTAAACTCACACCCGACCAGGGCGGCACGGTGGCTGAGTGGATAGCACTCTCGCCTCTCAGCAAGAAGGTCCTGGGTTCGAATCCCGGTCGGACCAGGGCCTTTCTGTGTGGAGTTTGCATGTTCTCCCCGTGTCTGCGTAGGTTTCCTCCGGGTACTCCGGTTTCCCCTACCACTAAAAATATGTCCAATAGTTCTAGCATGCGCCTCCTGTACTGGCGACCCCGCTCCCATCTCTGTGTGGAGTGAGAGACAAATGCCCAAAAATTAACAATTGTAAACCGCTTTGAGACTCAGATCTGCAGTGAAAAGGCGGTATATAAATAAAGATTACTACTACTTAATATAATACCAAACTTATCTAAATATTACACTTCCGTCAGTTTCTTCCTGATTTGAAGTGTGACTGTGTGTTTGTTGGATCTGTGATGTGGCAGATCTGTAGCTGAGCTTCCTGTGAGAGTGTGGTTTGGCTGTCGCAGCGTTCGCACAGACACTAGACACTAAAATAAAACTTTGATCCACAAGGGCCTTCGACTGATTACAGAAGGAGTTTTACAGAAAAGATAAAAGTCTGGTCGCTGTGAACAGCAATAGCAATACATTATAATATAGTTAACAAACACACAGCAGATAAACCTCATAAGTGAAGCAATCTTTGTGTGTGTGTCAGCATTTCTAGTGGAGTTTGGATGTTTCTCCCCGTGTCTGGGTTTCCTCCAGGTGCTCCGATTTCACCCACATCCAAAAACATGCACCTGACTCCGGTCCTCCAGTTTCAGTCCTGACCAAGTTATACAAAACAGCTTTCTGCATGGACCTCATTGTGAAACGAGTTTGAGAAACAGAGCATGGGTGGGGGGGGGCACACTCCTGATCTCAGCCTGGATGGAGCTAAAACGACACCCCAGGTCTGGAAGATGGACATGGAGTGGTAAGTATGTGTGCTGGTAGTCTTTATGAATAAATATGAAATGTGAAAATGCAAGAGGAATAAATGTTATTTCACAGGTGTGTGGGCGAGAGTGCTGCTAAAAATACATGGCCTCTGCATCCGAACAGAACAGACAGAAGAGAGAGAAGAGGCTGAAAGGACAGAAAAGACAGAAGATAAAGAAGAGGCAGAGGAGAAATGAGTTAGTTGAAAGCTAGCCAGAGGTATTGCTTTAACGCTAAACGCAGTGCATTTGGTCCACCCGATCTATCTGTTGTGTCCGAATCAAACAAATAAAAATAGAAAGAAGAGACAGAAGAGAAAGAATAGAGTTGACCGTTTGCTATAGGTCTTGCTATAACATTAAAGGCAGTGCATTAAGGCGGTCCAATGCAACTGCTGTGTCCGTATCAAATAAATAAAAAGAGACAGAACAGGCCGAAGAGGAAGAGTGGGAGGTTTTCTATGAGCAGAAAAGTGTGTGTGTGAGGCTGTCTGCGTGGGCTTCGTGATTCACACCCAGAGAACGAACAAATGTGGACGAAACACAAGCACGACTACACCAACTGCAGCGCTCTGAGGACTGGAACCATAACCATGAGTCATTCATGGAGAAAAAGGGGATAAATTAAGATCATAACGGAGCGAAGACATCACCTGCTTCTGTCTGCTGTACAATGGTGATGCTGGCACCAGTGGCTCATTAGTATACAGTACATTAGCCCTGTTTCCACCAGCTCTACAATACTCCACTCTACTCGACCCTAATCTCCTCTTCGGTCCCTAAGGGTTCAGAAGGCTCGGTCCTCAAGGTTCAAAAGGCTCGGTTCTCAGGGTTCAGAAGGCTCAGTCCTCAGGGTTCAAAAGGCTCGGTCCCCAGGGTTCAGAAGGCTTGGTAGAAAATATGACATATTTCAGATTCAGATTCATTTTGTGTAAGAAAGAGTCAGTATTTGGCATGCAGGAGAGACCTGGAAGAGACCAGAGAGAAACCAGGGAGAGACTGCCAAATGTGATGAAAAATAAGTCAAGAATTGCTCAAATGAAGCAAAATGATCTTGTTTTAAAAAGATACAAGAAACGTCGCCCTTGGAATGAGAAAAAAGCAATACCGTAGTTCTAAAAAAAAGATGAAATGGCTCAGCCCATTGGCAGATCTTGTTTTTAAACAGCCATAATGTACTCAAATTAAGATTAAAAAAAATAAAATAACATTGATTCAAGAATTTTTTACCACATATCTTAAATTTTTTTGCAGTGTTGAGAGAAACCTGTGAGAGACCAGAGGGAAAGACCAGAGAGAGACCAGAGAGAGGCCAGAGATGTGACAGAGGCCATGAACACATTTGAAAATTGGTGAAAAAAGCAAATTGTTTTAGATCCAGAAACTATAGGTCTGTTTCCTTTCTTCATTTTTATAGTTTTTGTTGAATTTATTTTGTGAAGACATTTAAATTCTGTCATCCAAGCATCGCCACCATCATGCTGTGGGTTTTATCGTGTTTAATCTCTGGAAAAGGGCTTTGAAAGTACACCTTGTCTCTGCGTATGTAAATAAATATGTGGCCTTGTGTTGTGTAAGTGAGTGAGTGGATCCGACACATTTTCAGAGTTACATAACTGTTGTGAGCGAGTTCGCAGCTCGGCCTTGGATCCAGTTTGAGCCGCAACCTGAGTCCAAGAATAGAACCAGAGACTGAAGTGTGTGGGCTCAAGGACGACGCAGCAATGGATGTGAGACAGAGTAAAGAAAGGATTTAAAACAAGTCTAGAGTAGGGTCTGAAGCAGGGGCTAAAAGCAGGTCTGACGAGGGTCTAAAGCAGACACTTTGGCAGGTCTAAAGCAGATCGAGGCAGGTCTAAAGCAGGTCTAAAGCAGGGACTAAAGCAGGTCTGAAAGAGGTCTAAAGCGGAGACTAAAGCAGGTCTGAAGCAGGGACTAAAGCAGGTCTATAGCAAGGACTAAAGCCGAGAGTTAAAACAGGGACTGAAGCAAGATACTTGTTGCATCTTTACTTACCTTCAGCTTGTGCTGCAGCCCCCCTCCCTCCTCATTATTACATGATCACTATGTCATCATGACTTCAGCTTCCAACAAGGTCTAAGACCCCCAGAGTATGTTAGTAATTTGTTGAGCTGATGGTGACCCGGGACAACAGTGGGAATGGTGTGACTTTCAAAAATAAGTCTTCTAAAGTCACAGAGCAGTACACCATGATCAATGAGACCAGAGAGACACCAGAGAGTAACCATGGAAAGACCAGAAAGAAACCAGAGAGTGAGACCAGAGAGAGACAAGAGAGATACCATAGAGTGACCAGAGAGACAAACCAGAGAGAGAGAGACCAGAAAGTGACCAGAGAGAGAGACCAGAAGGAATAACATTTTCACAAGGACATCTTCATAAACAGAGCTGGAATTGTGTTTAGTTCCATCCACACTTTTGTCAGCACAAACTCATCGACTGCGTGTGCGTTTTGTCACTCCATCTGTTGTTTCTGTATCCCTGCTTCCGACTTGGATTTAGTGGAACCACCGGCTAATCTCTGCACACACACACGCACACTAACAAATGGGCACGCACAAACACACATTGGCATAATACACACACACATTCTCATAGACACATATACACAGAGAAACCCACACACTTCTGGCACAGACAATGTTCAATGTCTTCTAACTCAATACTTTCTGTGAATTTCTACAAAAAATACTATCTTTAACTATGTGCTGTTTAAATCTAGACTTGGACATGGACTAGACCAGCCCTGAACCAGGTTGTTTCATACTCTTCAGACCAGGATGAAGCCAGGACCCGAGGCCGGCTTGAAAGGCGAAAGGCTCCAGTGGTCTAAACTGGTCTCAGGTCTAAACGTGGACTTCCTGCGGCTGTCATCGCTGGGGCCAGGCTACGCTAAAGGCCAGATGATGCTAACGGACGCTAACGGGCTAATTTTACCGAGGCATGTGGAGACGGATCGAGTACTCTGTGGAACCAAGGAGTGTCAAATGATCCGGATATTATGGACCGGAGAAAGTCTGGTCCATTAATAGTGCAGAGAAGAGAGGGCTGCAGGGAATACTCTGATACAGGGAAGTTAGAAAAGGCAGTGAGAGGAGTTGGGATTATTTATAGAAAATATATTACGCATTATGTTTGTCCCTTTAATTGTATCACAACATTCCTTATATGATACTATTATAGTTGTGGTGTCAACCAATTTGTATATCTAGCCCCCGACTCCACTAGCCCTTCTTGGCTCTACTCTACTCTACTCGGCTCTACTTTACCTTGTGTTTTAATTGTGCTTTAGTATCTGTTACTTTATCTTGTTAACCTTGCCACAATGCACCAGTATCCATGTAAATTCTGTAGTAATCATGGCTTCCAGCTGCACTGGGTAATTTCTGCCAGTTATAACAGTGTAGTACCAGCTAGGCCTACATAGAACCAGAGCCAAGAGGGTCTAAAAAACCTGGTACCAGTTTAACAGGGCCAGTTGATCCAGGACTGAGGCTGTGGACCGAAAACTCAAGTTGTAGATCCAGGACTGAGACTGTGCAGCAGTCACAGGCCAGTATAGTACAGTAGAGCCAAGTTGAGCTGGCCGATGACATGAAAATCCTGGTCATTGGCCCCTGGACAAGTCTGGTAAACTAAAGCGGCCCTCTTACTAGCCATTTGGACAAGCCTGTGTTACCACCACAGAAAGATTATATTTGAAAGACCACAACAAAGTATGTGAGAAAAGAATTTTGAATGTCTCTGTATTTTCTAAACTGAAAAGTGGGGCTTGCAAAAGTGAATACACAGCATTTCTCTGAGTGCCCTTGAAAATGTCCTGGTGCATGCTAGGACATTGTTCCACTCAGGCAATCATTCTGTTTTATAAGGCAATAAACACCTGTGAATATGATGTAATGGTGTAGTAATTCATAAAGGTGTGAGACTAGAGCATTTAGACAGAATGGTTGGGGGGACATCTTTGTGCCAGAAGTTCCTGGTATCAGCATGGATGAACTACAGAAATGTTTTTGATGCAGGAATGTAGTTAAAAACTCACAGAAAAAACTCTCTTTCCAGTTCCAGCTGGATCAGTCTCTTCACAGTGACGTGATAGTGACTGGACATTCCGCATGTCTGTCACTCACTGTAAGTCCCGCCTTCCTCCTCTTGTACCCGGTGCCCTGCCGTAATGAGGACAAACCGGTCCTGGAGAAAGTGAATGATTAAGAGCACGATAACAGTTGTTAAGAACATGCTGTACCTGGAGTTCAGACAGAAGATGTATCTTTTTTATAGATTTACCACTTTCTTATAACTCTGTAAAGCAGTATAGTTGTTGTGAGAATGGACACATAGACTGTTTTATTCAAGCAATAAGTTTCATTAGTCTTGAAGATTTTTCACCTTTTTGACTCAGCTCCTAATTTCAAACCAATATTTTCCAATAGAACAAGATATAAATGTTTTTTTTTTCCCAAGCAAATTGAGAAACAATTTTTTTTTTTCATTCTTCAGTATTATTCAGTTGCTCTTATATCACTTTTTATACCTGAAATGTTTGGATTAAAGCTGAGGTTTGAAACTTCCAAACGAGAAAACTAATGGACCATGTCATAAAATCCATAGTTTATGGCACTATACTGTTTCTTTATAATAATAATATATTAATATTAATATTCAATAATATAATTGATATGGATTATTTATTAGAGGCTAAGTACCTCAGTTTTAAGTCAACTGAAAGGTTGCCTCAGCGTGAACCTTTCGTCATTTGTCACATTGTGTCATACTAAATATCTATGCAGCATTCTTTTTATCACTTTATATTGTGTTATTAAAGCTGGGGTGCATAACTTTTGTTTGTCCCAACAAGTAGAATCTAAGAGCAAAACACATTGTGAATAGATCGGACCACAACATGCTATACATGTCAATTGACTCTTTGAGCTGAGAGCTGATTGGCTGTGTGAGGGTGGTCCTCTCTTTATCACTTTTCAGTCTGAAAAATGTGGTCGAAAAATGTGACAGAGGCTAGAAACATATGCATGTGGAAACTAGGGCTATACTGTAACCTCTCGAGTCTGGTGTCCCTATAGTCTCTCTCTGGTCCCTCTTTCTGGTCTCTCTCTTGTTAATTTCTCCAGAGTCTCTCTCTGGTCATTCTCTCTGGTCTTTCTTTCTCTGGTGTCTCTCTATAGTCTCTCTTCTAGAGTCTAGAGTCTTGTCTCTCTCTGGTCTTTCTCACCCTTGTATGTCTGAAAAAGCTGATATAAAGATATTGATATATATTTAAAACTAACGATAGAAGCAAACTGTTTTAGAGTCAGGAACTAGTGATATGGCCTTTATTACTTAACTCAATTGTATGTGGTTTAAAAGTCAGGTACCTCAGTTTTAATATGCATTGTCCTTGTTGACAGATAAACTATTGCCTAAAAGTCAAGTTCTCCTTGATTCATGAAAGCTAAGATATGTGTAAAGTCAATGCAAACTTGACTTTTAAGCTCTGGTAAGATGCATTGTAAATATGGTACTTCTATTCTACCGCCACACCCAAAAAAACAAGATTCAACAAGAGAAATATGTAGACAAAATAGCAATTTATTAATAAGTTATCCTCTTTTTACATTCAGGAGGGGAGGGGCGTCCATAGAAACCAGGCATTCAAACACCTCCCAATAAAACCATACAAATGATTGGCTTTTGTCCACAAACCCGAGACCCGAGAGCCCAAGAAACCTGCGCCAAAAACTTACAAACGTCATAAAAATAGTCCAATATTTATAACATATTTGGGAGATTTCAGCGCAGGATTCCCTGGGCGTACTCTTTTAAGGCTTCTTCAACGTTGATTTGTGAAAGAGGCGTCCAAACAGAGCCATAAAGCAAATATATTACATCAGAATAGAATACATGTCTTTTTAAAGCTGTCCTCCGTAGCTATGCGGGCGGAGACGATATTGTCCACAGTGTGATATGAACCAGTTGATTTTGCTTCAATGGTGCCGTTAAAAAAAAACATAATATGGAGAATTGGGAGTTGCTGATTTTTTGGCATAATAATCTCAACACATCGTAACATAGAAAACCCCTCAAAAAAGTCGGAAATGTCTAATAATATGATTTATAGACAACGTAGAAACAAATCCAAGGACAGAGTTCATTGGATATGACAATACAAGCTGAGGCAAGTCTTCACAGAAGACAAGGAAAGTCCAGAGTCTTTCACAGAGAGTTTTCCATCCAGTTTTCCACAAGATTAGAAAGAGTTTTTGTGTTTTAAGTTCGGACGTCTTTGGCACACACGACCCTTCGCACATCTGCGTCAGAAAGTCCATAGACCGAACTGAACCAGAAAAAACATTCTCCAGTGGACACTTTTTACTAGATACAAGATTTATAGAGATATCAAATTGGAATTTTGTTTGCCACAAATTGTGTGATTCTGCCAAACCAGTGCAGAATTTATAAAATGTGGTCAAAGTATGTGTTTTAGTTTTTCAAATGGTTGGCTGTGGGGGTTAAACATGAGAAAATAGCTATTCCTGAATATATATATACTTTGAGTGGGAAAGTAAAATGTAAAGCTTTTAAGCCTTTGACTTTGGCTTCAGCCATCAGATGGTTTTGATTCAAAACCCTGAAGCTACTCTGATTTTTGGTATAGAACATCAAATTCTAAAGTATTTACTTGTCAATGCTAAATTGGACAAACTTTGAAATCCTAAAGGCTGCAATCTGGTTTTAAATAAATATGAAACTTGAATTTGAAACGAAGGAATGTGACAATTTAACGCCAATCTTGTATCTGTACTTTTAAAAATGCATTCTTTCTTCCACCACTGTGACACGCTAACCGCAAATAACCATAGCTTAGCTGCTTAGCTTAGCCGATGCCTCAACGGCTCAAAAATGATCGGATTTGCAGAGAATTCCCAGGTTACAGACACTTTGCGAGTCTCACGTGGACTGAATGGCGTCGAGCTGGAAGACGTTGTGATTGGTCGGTGTGGTGAAGTAGAGCTGCTGATTGGTCGCAGCGATGCGGTTGTCACACGGCGCGTTGATGGCTAACGTGCGCTCAAAGTCCAGCAGTTGCCCCATGAAGTTGAAGTTAGGCGAGATGTTGGATTTCTTGGTCTTGACAATGTCGTAGGCATCATTCATAGAGAGGCGGAGCTTCTGCATGAGGTACGCCACGGTCACGGTCACCGAACGGCTGATACCGGCCAGGCAGTGCACCAGGACGCCACATTTCTGACTGCGAGCTTCGTCTGCAACAGAGGGAAGGAGAGAGGACAGGTTAGCATGGTGGCTAATGGTATACAAGAGGTATGCTAACAAGAACACAATGGAAAAAAATACAGAAGAGTGGCTAGCATAGCGGCTAATGTGATAAAACAGAGGTGGGTATACAATTTTTGAATGCTAATGAAAGCTGGTCAATTTCTCAAATCTTTTTTCAAAAAAATAATTTGATTCTGAACATCTAATTTATAACGACTGGATTGACTGACTTGGATATTTTTAAACGTAAGCAGATTTGTAAGGATTTTTTGCCATTTATTTTCAGCTAAATATTTGTCATACATTAAAATATATCTTCTTTGACAACACCAAAGATATGCTGTGGTCTGAACTGTTCAAAAAACTTGACTTCTACAAGTCAAGTCACTTCTGTTGGGACAAAGAACATGTATTACTCATTTTAAAAAGTGGGGTACTGTAGCTTTAAATCTGCTTCTACAGCCTGTTCCAAAAGTTCTTCTAAAGTGGTTATCTCAGCTGCCTGCGGTGTTATCTGTGGTTCTAAATGAGCGCTTGTGTAAAGTCTGGCCCAGATCCGGGTGAATGGAGCTTCCTCTGCGTCCTTCCGGCCCTGAGCTCGGGTTTCAGCCTCCTCTCGACCGGACGCGAGGCTCCAGGGCTTTCAGAGCGGCACAAAGCGTGTGGGCTTTCACGCTGGCCTTTGTTCCACGTTACACAAGCGTTTAGGGGGCGCAGACAGGGAGGCGTGCTGCTCCCCATGTGGTTAAGAGAGCGGATTCTCAGCTAAAGCCGCAATAATCAGAACTAATATAAGAAGTAGTAGTTTTGGTTTCAATTCAGGCCTTAGAGAACTTTAGCACTAGCTCGGAAAGGATGGAACAAGGACCGAGAGGGACTAAAGAAGGACCTGGTACTGGTTAAACAGTAATATTTTAATTATTTCATAACAATTATTTCACATTGTTCAATTGAATTTGTCACAGGGAGTATGAAAGCAGCGTGTTTGTTACCGGCAGAAGTCTTTAAAATGAGCGTAGATGGCTCCAGCTCTGTTTGAGATGAGAAGCTATGTGGTAACACGGCTCAAAGCTAGAAATATTTAGCTAGATAGCTCTCTTTTTTGTTTGTTCGTTTGTGAATGGGCGTTTGCGATGGCCGAGCACTCAACTTTGAAACATGAGACGGACGGAACAGACCAACATAACAGTGTAACGTGAGACCGACAGGAAGAAAGTGATCCACACGGTCAAAGGGATAAATGCCTCAACACACTGTTTGTCAATGAGGGCAGGGACACCAGGCATTCTCTTAAAGCTTGGGTACGTGACTTTTAAACCACACAAATGGAAATATGAAATCAAACCCATTGTTCCTTGCTCACAAAACAGTTTGCTTCTATCACTAGTTTTTTCACATGCATGTATTTTTGGCCATAGAGAAAACAGAGAATGAGCAGAGAGAGACTAAAGAGACCAGAGAGAGATCAGAGAGGTTCTATCCCTAGTTTGCACATGTATATATTTATGGCCTCTGTCACATCTTTTGATCAGCGTTTTCAGACTAATAAGTAGCAGTATAATAATGTTGAGAGTCACTGAAGCTTGTGAATAAGACAAACGCATAATTAGGCAAAATATTTAGCTAGAACTCCTCTCAAAATTGACATGGTCCTCTAACAAAACTGCCGGATGTCATTGTCTGCAAAAAAGTAGTTAACTATAGTTTGCCTCTATTTTTGTCCAAACATGATTGAAAGATGTGCAAAAACGCTTGTTAAAAAGCTGTGGTGATTCATACACAGCTCACTAGGCAAAAAGTCTGTTGCACAATCCGCACTTCCTGCTGCAGATAAGAAGTATTACATTGATAAGATTACAGAGTTCATATCATGTTTTGTTCCTGCGTTAAGTCCTGACGCACACACAAGGAAGAGGATGTTCAGAAAGCAAGTTGGACAGTTTTAGAGCTACAATTTTAGCACTTATATAGATTATACAAAAAAGCTGTTTGGTCGTTCTCTGGTTTCTCTTTTGGGTTCAATCTTTAGTGTCTCTGGTCTCTTTCCGGTGTCCCTCTGGTCCTCTCTTTCTCACTCTTTTTCTCAGTCTGAAAAAGCGGATCTAAAGATAAAATAGTTAAATAGTGATAGAAAGAAACTGTTTTGAGAACGAGATGCTAGTGACCTGGATTTCACAACATTGTCCCATCAGTTGGGAAAGTTACACGCCCCAGCTTTAAAGCTAGGTTTTAGTTAACGATTATTTTGATAATCAGTTATGGTGTCATAAAACCTCTTCTTTGGACTAGTTTAAAAGTAATGTCTGTAGCTTCAATCGTATTTCATTTTCAAATGAATACATATTTTTGAACTAGGACTTTGTGGAATCAGTCTTTGAAAACTCACCGATGAAGCTGATGGCCTCCGGGAAGAACTGGGAAAGGTTCTGGCTCCAGTGGTCCGAGATGGGGATCTGCTTGTAGACGAACCGGCGGGCACTCTCAAAGTGGTTGGGAAGGTTCGGCGTCACGTTCAGGATGTATTTGATGCCGTACTCTTCCAGCATGTCCAGGTTCGTGGCGTCTTTCGCGCATCCCAGGTACAAGTACGGCAAGATCTGCACCGGGAAGGAGGAGGGCGCCGAGCAGAGGGGGCTGCCGTTCACAGAGTCTGCGGAGAGACCAGAGCATTGTGAGCTGAGAGTTCTAACACATCCATGAAAATGAAAAGAGTTGAGGAGGAACCAGACCATTACAGCCTGTCTTCATCTTATTAGAAAACATGCTATGTTTTGTGTAAGAAAGAACCATGAGAGTCACTATTTGATTCTTTGGGCTGAGAACTGAACGAGACTGAGGGAGGGTGGTCCTCCCTTTGTCACTTTTTTGTGTGAAAAAGCTGATCCAAAGATGTGACAACGGCTAAAAATACAAATGAAAACTCTCTGAGCCCTCTCTGGTCTCTCTATCTCACATAGCAGCCAATGGTCCATAGAGCAAGGGATGAGCACCGTCCATAAACATGAATAAATGTCCATAAATATAAATCTTTAAAGGCATACATACTCCTGGCAAACACACAGATAGGAAATGCCAATAATAATATAAACTACTAAGAGGATAAATTACTACTTTAAACTAGGATAGTAGATAGTAATCCAGGTGTTTAAATTAAAAATATTACTGACGTTGTGTAAGCCACACGTTTTCTGCCTTTGAAATAACACTGACCTACCACTGTTTTGAGATTCAGTTAGCATCTATGGACCATGGGTACAGAGATTCCGTTCAAAACACAGGTACAGTCTCCTCTGAATGTGAAGCCGGTCGTACCTCTGTCTGTGGCGCTGCTGGGGTCTATGTCGGACTCAATATCTGAAGAGTCCGAGCTGATTCTCAGACCACACAGACCCAGGACTGGAGCCGGGGGAGACCCACAAGGAGGAGAGCCGTCTGGGCTGGAGTCGCAAAGAGACGGGAACTCCGCGTGGAACTTACTGAAGCCTCCTGCAAACATCAACAAAGGAGAATTCAGACCTGAAATACTGGTGCATGATCTTGTAAGAACCCTGTGAGTCACTATTTGAGCTAAACAGAACCTGGATTCACATTTTCCGTAACTTTTCTAGATTTTAGCTGTATCAATCTGAATTAGTTTACACTATTTTCTACTTATTTCAAAATGATTATAACTGAGATCAAAACAATCCCAGATTATGCAGATTGAATGCTCACCTTCCAGATAAAAGGCCTTGTATCCCTCGTCCTTCATGCGTCTGAGCAGCAGCCCAAGCACCGAGCCTCCGTCTGCGTTGTCGCTCACGTCCCGGCCGTACTCGTCGTACAGGATGATGCAGTCGCTCTTGCAGCGGCGCACAAACCTCTCGCGGTCCTCGCCATGTGACAGCAGTGTGCGCACGGGCAAGTTCCCCTTCTTCAGCCGCCGTAGCATCAGCCCTGGGATGGCCACGTTGATTGCGCCACGGACGTGAGCCGACTCGTGAAACTCTGGGGCACGGCAATCCATGAGCAGCAGCGAGTCACGACGTGTGTCGAGCTGCTCGCGGAGCCATACGACTGACCGCGCATGCGCCACGGTTGGGGCCTCGATTTGGCTCGTGGGCCTCAGCTTGTCCAACATTGTTAGATCTTAGACACGAGGATTACGAGTTGAAATTCAGATGGATTTTTATTGATCCAAGTTTAGCTGCAGAAGCATTGAATCGTGCTTCAAAATGGCTTATACACAATTAACAACTATATCCAGTTGCATTCAAAAACATACACAGAAAGGCTTTGGGAAACTGTCAAAAAATCCACTTTTTAATTAGAATTCTGCTGGTTTGAATTAGTCCATAAGCTTGTGCAGCAGAACGCGACTAACAGAGAATCTGTTCACCAAAACCCGTCTCCGTAAAAATGTGCCTCAGTCCAGGGCTTTCTGGGTTAACGATGATTCACAGAACACGTCAGAGACTGAAGCAATGCAACACAAAGCGCGAACGGGCCCTAGTACTAAATATATATGGGGTTCAATGCGAAAAATGACGCCTCAATGTCACTGCGTAAAAATAGACCAGAGTTGCGAGAGGCGATTGTCATTCATGCGCTCTTCTGGTTTTATCAATGACTCCAGGCGCGCTGCATTCGGAAATAGCTCCACAATTGTCCAAATGTGCGTGATAAGATTCGGAACTGGTCTCGGGCTGTCCAAGCCGTGCGTAAAGGCTATCCAGGTGCGCAACGGATCTGTTTTGACCGGTGCGTAAAGGCGCGCAGATACGAGTCCTTTCCAGTACGACGGTTTCGCAGTGAGTCGCGTCTTTGCAGCAGTGTGTGAATGGTCTATGCGCACTCGTGTGTCCATTGGGTGAGAGGCGAGAGCGCGCAGCCAATAGGAGCCGAGTCGCTGTGGAAACCAGGGGCGGGTGTGTGTGTTAATGGGTTTGTCATTCACAAAAAGAAAAAAAAACGAGATTGAGGAGGAAGGAGGGGTGCAGAGACACAGAGAGAGGGAAACAGAAAAGAGAGAGAGAGAGAGATGTCGAGTGAGGGAGAGAGAGAGAGAGGAATTTCCGCTCCGGATCAAGTGAAGCAAACAAAAACAGACGAGAGGAACTGGAGTGGGGGAGGAGAGGAAGGAAGCGAAGTCACATGTGCGGCTCAGTTACAGGCTTGCATTCTTCTCACTCAGGGAGGAAAAAAAACATTGTGTACTCTGCTCGTTCTCCAAGGCCCAACACTGCAGAGAGAGAAGTTTGTGAGTGTTTTTGTGAATGTGCGACCAGATTTATACACATAACTCACTCCAGAGTCCAACATGAGACCCAAAATCTACTACAATACTTCAATATGATTCAATATGTGGCCCTACATATACTCTACTCTACTCTATTTCCCTAAAGGGAGTTTGTCCTCTGGCCCTGCTTAACCAGTACCAGGTCATTCTTTAGTCCCTGGTTATAAAGGATTTTTCCAGGATAATAGTTTGTTGCGGGTTGGTTGATGCGTTCAGAACCAGATACTGAACAGTAGAGGAAACGCAGCCAGGTAGAGTAGAGTAGTAGAGTTCAGTAGATTTGGCTGGTGGAAACAGGGCTTCTGTAGCCATCCCAACATGAAAAAAACACATTCAGAAATTCAATAAGAAAACGTCTTGTTGAGTTTGACTGGAAAATGGCTTCAGCCTCACTTGCCTTTCGACCAATAACCCCAGTGACATTTGTTCATCAATAATTGATTGAGTTGTTTACTGTGTGGTGTAATGTTTAGTCCGGATACTTCCTTATGATGTAATCGCCTGGACGTGAGTCTAAAGAGCACTGAAGCAGCTATCAGACTGACCACACATGCAGCCTGCACGAGGACACAGCTCAACATCAATGGACTGTTAGTATTAGATAGCAATATGGCCTACGTGCAGGACTGTGCAAGGACTCTTCTGATGGTGCATCCATGTTTTGACTATGATGTGACTGTCTCTGTGTGACACGTACATCTTTTGATGTGTAACGTGACAATGACTATATAAACTGTGTACTGACTCCATTTTGTCTGAGAGAAAGAAACAATGGAAACCACTGGAACTTGAGAGAAACTTAAATAAACTTCCAGAGTTTGGCGCACCACGATCCGTCTCTGTCTGGTTCATTCCTGACAGGACAATGACTGATGCAACTGAAGATCAGGAGCAGTCTTCCAGAAAATGAAAGACAGAACCATGTTTACAGCTGGGCTCCTAAACGTTTTCTCATTTCTAATTAGAAAAACATTTTGTTTGTCCCAATGGAGTGATGTTTAATAAAACTATAACTGTGACAGAGGACAAAAGTACATGTGATAGAATGGACTGTAGAGCCAGAAATGAGTGACATGGGTGTGATTGCAAAGTTCAATTGTGTGTGGTTTGAAATTTAGATTCCCCAGATTGAAATCCTGGCTAAAACCTGTGTGTAATTGATATTTTACTTAATTATTACATGTTTAGTTATGTCATCTAAAGCCCCATTGTAAACACATCATTGGCTGCTAACACTGCACGGCAACAAGTGATAAAATGTGATCAAAATCAAGTGGTTTTTAGTTAATCTTAATTTGAGTACACTTTGTCTTAAAAAAAAATGCCAATAGGACAATGCCATTAGGTCTTATTTCAAGAACTGTTCCATTTTTTCTCATTCCAAGGGATACTTTTCTTTGTTCTTTTTAAAGCAACATATGTTTGCTTGTTCCATTGGAAAATCTTGTATTTATCAGTCAACATGTGCTTACATTGAGATACATTTGGCCATATTTGAGCCATTTTTCACATTATATTATTTTTCATCACTTTTTGCAGTGTAACTCAGTGGTACCTTTCCGTCTCCTTTTGGTCTTTACTTGCTGTTATCCCAGATCTAATGTAAGTGTGGTGTCTCCAAAACAACGAGGTGAAAGATTAAATCTAGAGTGTGACATTATTTACACCACACAAAGTGAAAACAATGAATGTCAAAAGGCTGGCAGTGCGTGCTAGCTAACATGCTGATGCCAGTCTGTTATTTACATTCTTAACAATTAAAAAGCTAATTAGCACAGTTAATACAGATATAGTAGATATTAAAAAAAACTAAATATTTGGTTTCTTACAACATAATTCAGACGTAAAGAGTATTTCAGGTCACTTCACTTTCTGCCCAGACTGGAAGAAGTCGTTCATATGTAAATGTCTCGAGTCTCGAGGTCTTCGAAAGGTGTGAATGTTGGAAATGTGTGGTGATTAGAGCTTTAACTGGTCCTGAATATGAAAGACACAGGATGTCTTCCTGTGGTAAACAGTGACCTATGTACTGCACAGGTGGACAAATGCAAGACAAAATAGTATTAATAACCTGGCCTTGTGGAGGTCTCAAGGACCACAGAGACTTTCGTTGTTTAGGCTATTTGGTGCCGAAGGTTTGGCCTTTTCTATGATGACGTAGATTTCCATATATAATGTATCTGTGTCTTTTGTTCTGCCTGAAATTAACGACAATTTTGTGAATAAACCAGCCAGGAGGCTTTGTCGTACAAAGATCCCGTTTTGCCTGAGTCTGATTCCCATCATTCCCTCCCCACTTGTTGGCCTGAAACTTTAAAACAATCATTTAGACATTATGAATACATACATGGAATTCTTTGAAGCATGGAGAATAGATTTTAACTCTATTACTTCACTATACTCTATGATCTAATACAAAGCTGTAGATGTTTGTAGCTCCAACCATGCCAATACAAGTCTAAAGACATACCCCCACCCCGTCTGGCTGAATGCTCCAGTTTCAAACACCCAAAGTGTTTTCACCAGATAACGCTTTTCTGGTAGAATTGCTACATGGCTCTTGAATCCAGACCTTCATTGTACCTGCATTAGTACTGCTTTTTAATCTTTAGACCGGCTTTAGTCTCTGTTTTTGACCTGTTTTACTCTCTGCTTTTGTTCTGCTTTAAGCCACGTTCAGACCGGATCATGCGTCACGTCGGGTTTCCATGCAAAGTCTATGATGATGCGCGTTGCCGCGTCAAAACACACCTACCTCCCGGCACACACTTAGGGACTGCTAATGTAGTGGTGCGCACACCCGCTGGTTAGCCAATCAGAGTTTGGTCCGGCTCTTTATAGAGGCGCGTCCTACCTCAGCCCGACCTCTTCCGCCTCTGACGTCGAGTGACTTGGCCCGGGACAGAGCAGGTGTTTTGATCAGCGTCTCGCTACCAAACTACCACGGTTCAATTGCACAAGGCGAGAGGCCGCGCAATTGAACCACGCGATCGTCGTTTGTGCTTTTGGTGAGTACTGCGTAGTGATTAAAATATTAGTTAGATTATCCTAAAATCGTGTTTTGTAGCATACCGGCGTCTTAGCGCGCACACCGCTGCTGTGCCTGCTCTCCTTCACCGGGCCCTTTGGCGTGGACGTGACTGCCGTGCGTAAAGGCTTGTCCCAGTGTGAGCTGTCACGGGCTGGGGCGGCTCGTGCGCGGAGCGTTTCAATCTGCAACGGTATGTTTAACTCTGTGCGCCTCCTGAACAATACATCATAGGAGTTTGTTTCTAATACACAATAATGTTTTAGGATTCCTGTTTCCGACCTCACCTTCCAAGTGGGGTCTTTTGCACTATAGTCTGGCCTTTTAAATCTAGAGGCACCTTGTGAGTGGGAGTATATAAATCTGTGGTGGCCGCGGAACTGCAGGACGCGTATCCCATCCAGCGCCTCTAATCCTCCACGCACCTCAACTAAGGACAATCAAACCAGTGCTTCTTTTTATTCCTCTACCCACAAGGTAACGAAATTCCGGCCCTAGTGTGGCTGAACGCAACGGCTGCTGTAGTTGGGACACTTTTAAAAGTTAATTGTTTCTTTTCTCTTGTTTTTGGTTTATCTGGCTGTTTAATGTATTGTTCTGGAATGCATGCAGTATGACTGAGGATGAATGGGAGTGTGTGTGTGCTGTGATTGTAGAGTGTTTTAATTAGAATAATCAATTAAACTTGTCAGCTATTTAAAATAAACTTATATTTTGTTAGATTTGCCTCTGTCTCTCTCCATATCCAAACGAACCTGGGGTCTAGTGATGCGGGGATAAACTTCTTAATGGTTCCTTAGGCCAAAATCTAAGG